CCGCAACCTTTATGGCGTCCATTAGATGGATCCTACCATTCTTTCAGGTCAACTATCCATCTCCCTTTCACAAAAGCTCCTTGATTAGGTGTAATAATTTTTTTTTTGAAAAAGGTAAAGTAATTATTTATTAGAAATAGAACTAGATTACAGTATACAATAGGCCCCCAAAGCAGCATATCCAGAGGCCAGGAACCTAGAAATACATTACAAGTTTAATAAACTATCAGCAATCAGCTGGGCACCCAATACCCTTGGTTGAACCCCTTTAACAGCAGCAGTCCAAGAGACTAACCTTCCAAAAGTAAAGGAGATTAGTTATTTATCAAAAAGTAAAGGAGATTAGTTGGTCCACTTCACTATGTCTGTCCTAGAAGATTCTTCTGTTTATTTCTGCCCAAATGGTGTTGATTACTACTGCAGGAGTGGAGGACCACACACATTTTGCTAACTTGGACAGGCCATTACGGTCCCAACACCACAAGAGGTCAAGAACAGCCGCTGGCATAACCCAAAAAAGATGCCAAGAGGAGAAGAAGTTGTTAGAAACTATAGTGGAAACCGGGCAGTGCAGAAATAAGTGATTGTTGTCTTCTTCCACTTGATTACAGAGAACACAAGACAAATCCTGGAGCTGGATTCCTCTCCTTTCAAGGTTCTTTTTGGAGAGAATTCAAAGCCACAGAAAAGACAGGCATTTAGCTTTGAAGGGGCAATCAGGTTCCAGACTTTTTCAGCAAGAAAATCAGCTTAAGGACCAATTGAAAGATTCCTGACAAAAGAATTGACAGAGAACAAACCATAATAATATTGGGGAGAACTTGCTTAATTCTCAAAGACAACACCTTAGCTATAATCTTTTACAAGCTGTTCACCAAACTAATTGGCCTAAAATCCTTCATGTAGGTATCATCCTTCTTCTTTGGTAACAAAGCAATGAAAGTGAAATTCAACCCTGGATTTTTTTTTTTGATAAATAACTTGAAATTTTATTAGAACTTAGGTAAAAGCTTTGCGAGCATCCCTTAAGAGAGGCACGAGAAACTACCTCTGTATAAAACAACAAAAGCAAACTACATTTGAGCCTAGAACAGAAATTTCCTATTCACCACTTGCTTAGCCAAAGCATCCACCATCCCATTTATAGATCTCCTCACCCATTGTATCCTAAGGTTCATATTCCTGATGAGTCATCTAAAATTTTTTCATTCTTGTAGCACCAAATTATGGAGTATGGATCCTTTAACCATCTCACCACCACTTTTGAATCCCCTTCAATATGTCCCACCACCAAATTCATCCTTGGATTAATCACTCCCCTCTTGTAAAACTAATCAAAAACTAGCAGATTGCCCATCTCCAACATGCCCCAACAATTTTGATGAAATGCAATTGTAAAGCCATCTAGGGCTGATGCTTTTGATTTGTCCATAGAAAACACTGTTTCTTTTATTTCTTCTAATTCAAGCTTTCTTTCTAATAAGGACATGACTTGAGTTTTGTAGAGAGGAAGAAGGATGGCATGCATTTGGTTATAGTTACTTGAACGTGGGCATCTCAGCATTTCAGACAGGAGCAAGACAACCATCAGGGGCGGAGCCAGGAGAGGCAGAGGGGGGCCATCCCCCCCCCCCCCATGCTTTGAAAATCCCCACAATACCCATTTAAATGTCACCTATATTTTGGTTCCCCTAGCCCTGTTTACTACCTTTTGGCCACCCTATCTATGTTTACTAGTTTTTGGCTCCCCTTAAGAAAAAATCCTAGCTCCACCCCTTACAACTATAGAGAATACTAGTCTAGGGTACTACAACCCTCGCCACCCCACCCAAAAAAAAAGAAAAAAAAATGCAACAAATGTAGGGATTTGGTTTTGTTGATTCCAAGGTTTTCCATAGTTCTCTAGTTTTTCTAAAAGTCTTGAACTTGTGAGATAAGAGTGTTTTTTAATTAAATGGTGTTTTTTTTTGGCTGAGATAATCTCAAACGCTTGATTGTAATGGATATAGATGCATGAGCTTGGATTAATTTGAACTATGGTTACCGTAAGGAGTCCATAATAGGTCGTCTTCATGGCTTCCCTATTTATATGGCTAGGTCATCATCCGATTGAGCTTATGAAACAGAGAAGCCATTGTTCTTTCCATCGCAAAACAGTGCTTGAAATGGGTGATCAACCTGAAGCCATCACAGTGACTAGGGCAGCATTGCAGTATTCGGCAACAACATCTTCTCAACCTCGAAGAACGTCGATTAAAATTGGAGTGCAACGGCGACCAACCCATCTCGTTTTCAGAACAGAGTTTCACGACCCAAAAAAAAAAACAATGGCAGGTGTACATTCGATTAATTTTTATGGACAGAACTAACAGTAACAGTATGCTCCTTGATATAGTTGGCTCCGCCCTTCAATAGCTTCACTCTTTATATTTCTTAAGTTTCTCTTTCTTTTTCCCAATACCCAATTAATGAAGCTCAGAAATTACTATGAACAAATACAACTACATTGAAGGATCTAGTCGGGAAAATTGAAAAATCTACCTAAAAACTACAAAATGCAAAGAAACAAAGAAGTGTGTACCTTGACAAGGAGCAAGTTTAGAATGTAGACTCCTAGAGCCAGATGATGCACAGACAGAATATGACCTCTGCATCGAACAGATTCCAACTTCGGAGACCCCTATTTGACGGTCACGATTAGAAGTTGCAGAGAGTTGACAACCTACAAGTGTAGTGGGCAAACGGCGGCCATTCGATCGAACCTCCTTGTCATCGGCACAAGGTCGACTCCGCTTTGTCGACGACGACGATGAACGTTCAAGCGCTGCGTCGATTTCATCGAGCTCTTCCTGGGTGATAGGCTGGTCCCAATCTGGGATTGAGGGGAATGTAAGAGCTGAGGACGTTAAATCAGTTGCATATACCCTTTCGGGTTCCATCTGCAGTTTCGTCGAGATACTTCGGACCGTTTGCAAGAGGAAATTTTTTAAGCTTAACGCGGGGCGGGTGTCACAAACACGGCAAGCAGCTGATCTTGACATGGCTGAGACCTCACAGGTGCATTGCCTGCAGCCCCAGTGAAATGTACAAATCGGCAATGGCGAAAGCCTTTAATCCGAAATTTTGGGGCGGGAAAACTTTGACTGTTGCCAACGGGTGCCCATGAAATACGACAAATCGAATGAAAAAAAAAAAAAAAAAAACCGGTTAAAGAAATTGACAGATTCGGTTTCACTTTGATTCTCGAAAAACCAAAGGCACCGATTTGGTTTTTGTTAACAAAAAAAAAATGGTGTTAATTGAACCAATTGATATATATTATATATTATAAATATATTATATATTTCACTATATATTATAAATATAATATATATATATTTATTATTTTTATATAATATATAAAAAGATATATGTGCACTATATATCATGTTTACAATTAGCTATTTGTAGTAATAAATTATACAATTATATATATATACATATTATGTGTGTGTAAAATATATTATATATTATAGTATTCGTATTATAATATTTATATAGTATATATTATAAATATAAGGGAATTTGACCAATGAGTAACACCCTATGAGTAGGGTGGTTAAGCAATGTGCGAGGTCTCCTTAAAGGACAAAGGAAGATCGAGTGTAGGAGGTAGAGGCTAAAGGCTTAGGGCAAATGGAACAATAAAATGATGATTTCATTATGAGATTGACCCTTATTTATAGGGAGAGATCACGAGGTCCCGAAATGAAGGAGCCAAAAGCATTTGATTCACATTAGGAAAGAGAATTTCGGATTCGATTTTAGTTGTTATGGAGCACTACTAGGGTTTCGCCATATGTCTTATAAGATATTTCAAAAACGAGCCTTCCTTTTGTCTGAGGATTCTCATAATACACGTGTGCTACTTTCTTTCGTGACCCTTTTAAACCGACGTGCCATGGGTGACGTCACTATTTACCTTGTGTGCCCTTATTAGGCCCACGGGGTGTCCCATCATGCATGTAATTTAACAATGCACATGTATCTATTATTTGTTCCCAGCCTGTTATGATTCAGCACTTGTCGTGGCTTTGTGATGGCTTTAAACTCATCAAAAATCTATGTGTGTCCAAAGCTCATCGCGAGTTCGCACATGTCCAAAACTCATCTCAAATCGGTGCATGTTCAAAGTTCATCGCAAATCTGTGCAACCAAAGTTCATCGCAAACTGTTTCAAGTATGAGTTCGTCACAGATGTGCGATGAGTTATGAACTCATGCAGACGTGTGATGGGTTATGGACTCATCGCAGACATTCGTGTAGTATTAGTCTGAAACCCTATGTATTCCGATGGTCTAAGTGACCACAATGTACCTACATTAACCCCCTACTTATTGGTAAGTGGGAACTAACTTTAAGCATTTTTGTCGTCGGGCTTTGGGGTTTTGTGATGGAGCAATGATAAACATTATTGTAGGTGTTGTGGCACCCTGATTCTTTCGCATTAGGTCTGGTGATCGCTCTTGTTCTCGATGGAATGCCCTGTGGATTTTGTGTGTAGAAAATTTTAATTTAGGTACGTTATTAGTCCCTTTATTGATAAGTGCGAACTTGTTAATAAGCATTTTGGCATTCAACTTAGTAATACCTTTCAATGGAAATCGGGAGTGTTTATTTTGGGCTAACTTTTCATTCTTTCTGTGATTCAGCCCCTTGTCTTTTTACAGTTTGCTTTTTGTCGATAGGCAGCTCTGTGCTCAATTAAGTAGCAAAGTTCTCAACCCCCTGCCTCTAAGCAGGAAGCTAATTGTCAAAAAACAACTACTATATGACAGATTCTGGGCTTCTAGCCCCTCTTTGGTTAAAGGACAACGGTGGGGAAGTAGCAATCATTTCATTTCGTCTTCCACGATGTCGTTTAGAATTCTAGACTTCTGTGAAACCCTTATAAAAGCGTAGTGCGACCAGAATTTGCTCTTCTTGCTTGCTCAAGGTAAGCAGAAGGCTGAGTGAAGGAGAAGTCATGTTCTACTTGGGGACTATTGCAACTATTGCAGCCGTGGCCATAGGAACCGTGGAGTTACTTTTTAGACAAGGAACAATTGTACTAAAATATTGTCTTTATGTACAAAATTTAAGGAGAAATTTGATTTYTRTYTCAAAACTGTGTGCAGATGGTTATTCTGTCTTCTTTAGTAATACGATTACTATTAAAAGAAATAACAGATTCATCGCATACGGGGAACTGAAAAACGGTCTCTATGTTCTACATCCTTTTTTAGAAACTAACATAACCGAAACTACGTCGGCTGAAATCCCTAAGAAGAGAGCCCATGATAC